GCTTAAATCCTAAAATACTCAACTTTTAATGGGAAAATTCATGATCAGCAGCCCAATTTCCCCTCCCAATTACAAATAATATATAAAATGATGATCAGTAAATTTTGCCAAAACTTAACAATAATTTATTTTATAGAAAATTAATGGGAAATAGCTTACTGACTAAGAGCAGTAAACAGTATAGGTGAAGAACCCTCAGAGGTACCACTGACAATAGAGAAACTATCAGTCTCCATTTATAATGACACTTTGCCTTAACTGGGCATCGGTCCTTTGTCTTTTAATATGTTATGTTGACTGTAGTTATGTTGGCACAGGAGACCTGTAAGTGAATGACTTTGCAAAAAATATATATTTAATAATTTTATATTAATATATTATTAATAATTATTTTTAAGTCTAAGGTAATTTATAAGAAAAACATAATTAAGCTGAAATTATGAGCATGAACAATTATATAAAATAATATTTAACAATAAATCATACTCATACATTATTAATTAAGTAATATTGATATTATTATGTTGTCATCATTAGCAGTCAAAACAAATGTGCAATAAATTATTACATATTTGTTTTGATTGATTCTGATGACAAAATCAGGTCTATTAATGCTTTTCCATTGATGTTTTTCAGTTAAAATTAAGTTTTTCCTGGCAGTAATGATCTCTAATCTCATGGATTATTCAATTTAAATTAAACTAATAAAGGAATGAACAATCAAAGAAGTGAGAGGTTGGGATTAAAAAATATTAAAATATTGTAGGGTTTGTAAGACAAAATTAGGTATAAAATGAAAGATAATTGAATGGACTAAATTTTTATAAACTAACTTCTACAGTTTAACTAAAATAAACTACCACAAATGACATCGGAATAGCATTTAGTCTAAAGGGACCCTGACACACATAGCCACTATTCGGACCCGGGTCCCTTCAGACTAAATGCTATTGGGATGTCATTTGTGGTAGTTTATTTTAATTAAACTGAAGCAGTAAGTTTACAAACATAGGCCTATAGTCCATTCAATTATCTATCACTTGATTTTGTCGATTTTGTTTTACAACCCAACAATAATATTTTTAATATTTTGTAATAAACCCAAACTCTCACTTCTGATACCCGGGTCCGAATAGCTGCAGCCACAAACAATACAATGAATTAATAATGTTGATAATATGAATAGTACAGTAAAGTTTAGTAATAGTAGTACCAGATGTGTAGTATGGTCTGTTGTGATTGTGCGATAAATCAACATGACATGTGTCTGTTAAGAAGCGGAAGCATCTCTTGCAGTTGCAGCAGCAGTGCAACATCAACATCATATATTTGATAGTCTTAGTGAAGCAACTTAGTGTTTTGCCTAAGTTAACACTTAAGCCAATTTTCTTATTTTGAAGTCTTATCCGCCCCAGCATCGCCACCCTTTTTTATATATTATTAAAATAATTATTATTGTTGGTCTTAGGCCTTATAAGTTACGCCGCTTAGGCTTAGTCACTTATCACTTAGTCATATGTCATAGTCTAGGAGTCAGGAGACCAAATAATATGAATATGCAAATATGAAATTGACAGAACAGAATTTCGTGTACGTGGTGTAACCCCAATGGTATCCCAGAATAGTTTTTTAAGATTCTTGACTAGTAATAAAATCGTATCCCTTTTTCCCATTCATTTCAATAGAAACCATTTCAAACAGTTCACCCTGTACTATCTATATTCAGCCTTTGTTTGATAATACTAATACCTCTTCTACTGTCTACTTCTTGTAATGAAAACCCGCTTCCTTCTTCGGGTCGACGACTCGGCATACAATTAGTGTATACGAATTGTATTTTGTTTTGTCCTTTTTTTTTCTTCTCCAAATTAATGAAGTAGTTTAACAATACAAAATAAAAATAATATTAACTGTTAATAATGGATAATTAACTATTATTATAAATATAAAATTAAAATTTGTACTAAAAAAAAGAAACAATGCATTCCCGACAATCGTTTTAACAACATCCAATGCCAAAAATACATCCCTGCAAGTCAGAATGATGGGTACGCAAAGAAAGTATGCGCAGAAGGGTGGTGAGGAATTCTATACGTGTTTCTTTCAGGCAGTCATCCGGGGTGGGGGATATATTGATTAGGCTCTTTACCCAGGCATCAAACTAAAATTAGAATTTGCGTCCGGTGATCAGAGTCTAATTGTCGAAATGGTTGGGGGTTGGGGGTTGTAATCACCTTTTCTTATTTCACCACCACTTAACGCCCACGTCCCCTTCCCCCCCCCCTCTCGATTCAGCATACCGGAGCTGTAACTATTTCCATTGTGTCATCAACTCAGGCGACCTTCCAGGTCAGCACGGCAAGACGATGAGCTCGACTTAGCGAGAGGGTCACTTGCGTCAATGAAAATTATGCTACAAACGGACAAACAATATGGAAATGCCTGTAGAAATAAAGTCTTGAATAAAAGGGGGAGTTAATATAAAGAAACAAAGAGAAGTTAAGTGTCAGACTAATATTGGGGGATAAAGAGCCATATCTCTAAGACGCGTGGCTTGAATAACAGTGCTTTTTATTTTTAGAGAAGGGGGGGGGGGAGAGGGGAGGGGTTAGGTAGAGGGGGGGTTAGGTAGAGGGGGGGTAGGTAGAGAGGGGGTTAAGTAGGGGGGGGGTGAGGGAGGGAGGGGGGTGGGGAGGGGGGGGGGGGGGGGGAGAGGGGGG